CAGGGAGGGCCTGGGTGACGGCTTGGCAAAGGCCTTTTCAGCGTCGCCCGGGTTTGCTGCACCCAGCTACCCACCCTCAGTGCCACGATAGCACGGCGCAGCTGGAGCTTTGAAGGCTTGGGCTGTTTTGAAACTTACAGTTCCTTGGCTAGGGAATCTTGCTCCAAGGGACCCCTTCCCACAGTCCCCGGGTGACACTCATACATGGCTAACCCCATGGCACACCAAAGCAGGGACAGCCCCTGCTGGGAGATTTCCCCACAAGTTCCTCTCTACTCAGGCAAGTCTAGACAAGGAAGGGTGGTGGCCGGAGACAGGGCCACACCCTCAAGGCACCAGATGGAGGCCAAGGTAAGAGTTTGCTAGCTCTAGAACGGGTGGAGGCAGCAGTTGGTCGGGACTCCGGGGAGCCCGGCCCGCCCTTGTTCAAGATCCACAGCTGGTCTCAGGGTGGCCCTAGCTCAACTCCAACCCCAGATGTCATTCTAAAGCTGCTCCTGCTCCCAGAAAAAATCCAGGGGGTTGAGAGACTCATCAGCCCAAATTGGGCTCAGCTGTCTGTCTGGGGTTGGCCAGGACTGCCCTCACAGGCCCCCCACCCCACCCCAGGGCTCAAATAGCAGCCCAGAAAGACCACCTTAGCTCCGTGAGGCAAACAGGGCCCTGCCTGGCTACAGGGAAGCCACTTCCTCACAGCAACCTAGAAGCAGACTTCCTCTCAGAGACTTACTGAAACTCTTTCCAACGACAGACTTGCTCAATGACTCAGGGCAGCTTCACCCAATAGAAAGTAATGTCAGAAGAGATCTTATTTGTCCCCATAGAGAACACCAGAGGAGCGGTAGTGGTAGAAACACAGATGAGAGGCTGGACCTGCCAAAGGTCCCTCCTTGCTGCTGTCTGGGGAACTTGGCTAAACACCCGGGCCTTGGTTCCAATAAGGCAAAATGAAGGGTGGAGTAAGGGATGGTGATAATGGTGATGGAAAACTGAGGAGTTTGTTAAATATTTTATTTTGTAATCAAAATAGGCAATACAAACCAGTTGACATAACAAGGATTCATATAAATAACTGCTTATAAACTTTGAGGAAAAATACCCGTGAGCATGGTGGCTGGGCTCCCAACACAGGGTGGAGACCAACCAGGCAGCTCTGCTTTTAGGAGGCAGGAAGGAGCCCAGAGGCTGAGGGGATGGCTGGGTGGGGCTGCTCTGAATGGAAGCGATACATCACTCCATAAATAAGACACAAAATTGTAAAAACACTTAACGAGTCTCATTCAGACCCAAGAATGAGGTCCAGGATGCTTCTCTGACAGCTCAAAGCTTAGCAACAAACTCAGTGGCTGGCTTCTGAACTGCTCAGTGCTCCTCCATACCCTTACAAAGCCTTGGCTTGGCCTGGCTCCAGATCTAGAGGAGGCCTGGGGCCAGCCCAACAACCGGATACAAACAATTGTGTTCTGAGATGCTCCATACATGAGAAGGCAAGAGAAAATAAAAAGCACAGGGTCCCCAAAGGCCCCAGAGAAACAAAACCCAGCAAATACGGAAAGCTAGAACTTAGAGCCAAGCTATACCGGGTACTCTGAACTTTCAAAGGGGCCCCAGAGCAATAAAGGGAAAGGACCCTGCCCCTAAACAAAAGAGAGGCACAAATCAGGACTGGGCTCTGGCCTCAGCCCCAGGAGGAGGAGGTGAGTAACTTGACAGTTGCCCTGTGGCAATATGAGGGAAAATCCTGCCCAAACCCAGAACCATAGAGAAGAGTTTACAAGGGGGCTACCTGGATGGCCTGAGAACAAAGGAGAAGGGAGCTGTGCTAACCACATGGCCAGGGCCCCATGGGACAGAGCAGCTGGAGAATGGAGTATCCTGTAAAATGGCATGACAGCTCAGATTAAGGAGACCTGGATACAATCCCTAGGCCAATTCTAGTGGGTGCTTTGCTAATAAACAGATCACCCTGAGGCATCTGTGAGAACAAGAGTCCTGAGGAAGCAGCAGTGGGACCAGGCCAAAGAATACCCCGAAAGCCAACTTAGATCCCAGGCAGGCTAGCCGAATGGTCTGAGAATTCTCACATGGCCACTGTGACTGGTACTCAGCCTTTCCAGTGGACATCAGCAGGACCAAAGTATGGAGTGGGAATGAACGTGGATCCATCCAGAGGACAGAAAAGGGAAGTGAGCAGCCTGTTTACCTTTGACGTCAGCCTGGGGCTGGGAACAGTCTGTGAGGACTTATCAGTTAACCTGCAAAAGTTAATTAGTAACTCACCCTCAAAGGGTAAATCAGTATGACAGGACAAATGCAATCCAACAAGGCAAAGCCAGTGTGGGGCAGGGCAGGCACAGTTCCTTAATCAGCCCTTGGCCCCAGATGCAGGTTCTTACCCCCCTCCATCCCTTCTCTCTGGGAACAGCAGCAAATAGGAGGCAAGAGATTGTCAGGGCAGGACCTGCAAGACTGGGCTCTCAGCAGACCAGATCTTCCCTGGGGGAACAGAGTCTATGCCACCCCCAGCATTCCTCACTGAGTGACACAGTTTTCTCCCATATCCTGGGCATATCTGTCTGACATGGTGGTCCTTAAGTCCTCGATGTCACGGCGCAGCTGTTGAACCTCTTCTAGTTTCCTCCTGATCACATCTGGCTTCTGCAAATCTAGTTGAATCCCTGGGTGCTGTGCAGCTGGGGAGAAGAGCATTTCAAGAGAATGTTAGTCAGTTAGGAGATGCTTTCAATGGAGGGGGTGGTATGGATACGCAGTACTTTGAGACCCATGGTCTTAAAACGCATGTTTTTAAAAAAGCAGATGGGGATAGTGGGCTGAAAACTTGCTAAGGGCCATTTTCTGTTTGTCCCGCATTCAAGTACCCATAAGGATGACTGCTTCCAAAACAGATTTACTGAGTATCTACTTTGCAAAACACATAAACTCCCAGGGGCAGTGACCAGGTCTACAGAGCCTTGATCACACAAAGGATGGGAAAATTGGATGGGGGTGACAGAAGAATGAAAGCCACTCTCTCCTGTGTCCCAGACTGGCCTGAGGACTCACAGTGAATGCCCAGGAGCAGGGAGAGATTGGGGTCATGGCCCTGGGCCCTCTGGGTCACAATGCTACAGACAGCCTGCAGATCTTGAAGGCAACTGGCCAACTCCTGGTGCAGTTCAAATGCCAGCTGGGCTGTATCTGGTGAAGATGGAGACCCTGGTTGGGCTTGACGCAGGTGTTCCTGGAGTGTCAGATTCTTCTCGATCAGGTCCTGGTTCTGTACTGAGAGCTGAGCCGACAGATGGGCAAACACATTAACCCAAGCCCAGGGAAGGGCAGACTATTTATACATGTACGTGAATACACGAGTCACAGGGGATATCGCCCCCTCCCCACCACTACCAACAGGCTTAGCACTCCCCCTATTCCCAAAACTGGGCCTAAGTTCTCCTGCAGGTAGGTCAGGCCCATAGGGTTCCAGTACTGGAGTCTTCCCCAGCAGACTCTGAGTCATCAGCCTCCAGGTTTCTGTTCAGGAACCAGAGAAGATACTCCCGCCCCTCGGAACTCTATCTGAAGGCAGTCCCTCAGCCAACTCTGTTAAGCAGGCTATTAGAGGAGGCTTAACGTGAACTGTGAAATCTGAGGAGACACTGGTTTCAATCTCTCCCTGCCACCCTGACAAAAGTGGCCACCAGCCAGCCTGATCAGAGTGTGTCAGAGGAATAAAGGGGGCAAGAAAGACAACAATACAGCTAGTGGCCACTGGGTGGGGGCCTGAGGGAGCTAGGAACCTGGAGGACACAGCACTGGAATGTGCCCTGCTTGCATTTTTACACCTTCACCTCAGTAGAATCAGGCTTTTCTACAAAGATCAGCTATTCATGTATGTCTGTGTCTCCTTCTCTCTCTCTCCCTGAACAGCTTAACCCATTTTCCCCTCCCTCCCTCTATTCTGAATAGAGTTCTTCCTCCAGTCCCAGCCTTTCACGTCCACTGGGCCATGTGACAATCCCAGCTCTGAGAGACTCCTTCCTAGGTCAGTGAACTTGGTCACCCCTTGCTGACAGCTCTGTATACTCCATGAGGACCACCGAGCTCTCAGTCTTCTTGAACCCTTCCTCCCCAACCCCACAAACCTGTGGCTAAAGGAAAACAAAGGGAGAGAGACTGACTTCTTGCATCCAAAACACATTCCTGGGTAAATATGGCCTAAGATGGGATTACGACCTTTAACAGAAAGGATGATGCGGCGTCCCTTTCCATTCTTCTGTCAAAAACAGTTGTTCAGCAGGGACCTCTCAAACATGAGGGCTCTTGTGGGAGTAGGGATGGGGAAGGTACACTGAGAAATCAGGCTTGTGGAGGCAGTACCACAAGGCCCAGATGCTGCTGCTCACCTCTTTCACGGCTGTGCGAAGCTGCTGCAGGGCTGTCTCCCTCCGCTGGGCCTCCTCTTTCAGGGCCTGGCTTGCTCCTTCTTCCTGAGCCACCTCCTGCTCTAGGCTCTGAATCCCAGGGCAAGGAGTGGTAGGATTGCATATGAGGAGTAACAAATCTGGTTTAGACCATGTCACCTCTGGCCTGGACTATATAGTAAAGCCCCACCCCGCCCATACACAGCTTAGAGATTATCTTAGAAAAGCCCTGATCTGCTACTTCCCTTTGAAACCCTCCTATAGTTGCTGACCAATTAGAGGTCAGCTCCTCAGCAGGGCATTCCAGACTAGTCTGGCCCTTACCTACTTTTCTAGCCACATCTCTTTTCACCTTCCACACAGCCTCTACTCCAGCCACATCAAATGACTGCACAGCCTTCATTCCCAAAGGCTCTAGCTCCAAACTTGCTCACTCTCCTTCCCCTTTGTCTAGGCTACTCTTCTGCTCTATAACCCAGGAAACCTTCAAGGCCCACCTGAGCCTTCCTTAATCCGCAAATCAGATTCTATTAATCCTACTCTCGCCCTGCTACTCATACTTCCATCATGGCTCATGAGTACACTTGTTGGCAGTGCACATGGTTCCCCCCCTCTCCATAACTTTCTTGAGGGCAAGAAATGTCTATTCAGTTGAGTTCAGTACTTACTGAACACTGTGACAGGCACTGAGGATACTGAAAAGAATACCAAACAATACCAGTCTTTGAGGAGCCCACAGCCAAAGCCCTTGAGAATACTGTGTATTAAATGCTTCTGACAGAGATAAGGGGTAGGAGTGCTCCCACAGTCACCTAATCTAGTTAGGAGGGAGAGGGGGAGAGGGAGGGAGAGAGAGAGTGTGTGTGTGTGTAGGGATGGTCAGGGTCAGGGAGAGGGAGGTATTTATGTCTGTTATTTTTTGCCTCTCATTCTATTCATTCCAACTCCCCTCCCCCAATTTTGAAACTTATTTGAATAAAGTATTTAAAAATTTTCTGAATTTTCCCATTTTGTATTAATAAAAAACTGCCAAAGGAGAACATCTCATCACCATGAAATACCCAAGGTGACAGTTTTGAATCTACTTGATTCCAGCAAATTCATCTGATATTTTAATTTGCCTGAGAAGTTTCATCATGGGTAAATGTAAAAGGTGGGGCTTTTTTGGGGCGCCTGGGTGGCTCAGTTGGTTGAGCATCTTACTTTGGCTCAGGACATGATCTTGCAGCTCGTGAGTTTGAACCCTGCATTGGGCTCTGTGCTGACAACTCAGAGCCTGGCACCTGCTTCAGATTATCTCTCCATCTCTCTGTCCCTCTCCCACTCATGCACTCTCTCTTAAATATAAATAAAATATTTAAAAAATATATATATTTAAAAAAAGTTGGGCTTTTTCAACCTTTTTGAGAGCTGAGGGTTTCAGGGTATGTATTTGAGACACATTAAAAGCTCTACTAGGAACCTGGGATTTTAAATGGATATAAACACTCACTAGGCTTGACTATCTTCTTTTAGGACTTGAAATAGGGGAACTAGACAGACGTAGCCCAACCTACATGATGGCAAAGGCAGGACTGCAGCTTTGAGCTGCTCTCAGAGTGAGTGCATTTCACAGTTTTGATGAGAAAACCTCTTTTGGAGTCCAAAGAGAACCTGAGTGCACCTGCTTTACCTAGGGTTTTTTGGAGAACCCAATTAAGGACACCTCCCTACTCTGGCCCAAAATAGAAACCAGGAGTTGTCTTTAGTTTTTCCTTATTCTCTAACCCCCTACATCTTGTCAGTCACTGATTCCTCTTAATTCCACTTCCTAAAATTCACTTGAATCTGTCCCTCACAGCTTCTTCTCCTTGCTATGCTGCCAGGTTCCTTCATCATCTCTCACCAGGATTTCTGCAATAATCCACCAGCCTCCAGCCTTGTTTCTCTCCAAGTGCCAATCTTTCCACACTCAAGCCTGAGTTGCAAATCTGACTACCTCACACCTAAATTACATTCTATTCGCACTGTCAGTATGGAGCCCGATGTAGGGATTGAGCCCACGAACTGTGAGATCATGACCTGAGCCAAAATTGAGTTGGACTCTTAACCGAACGAGCCACCCAAGCGCTCCGTGTGCTATTCCTTCTATGTGGAATTCTAAAACCAAAGTATTCAGCTCTTCTTTGCCTAGCTAACTTTTCCTCCTTGTTCCAGGCTCATGATCTCCAGAAACCCTTCCTTAACCTGCCCTGCTTTCACTGACTCTTCTATGCTCCCCCAAAGCAGCAAGGACATTGTTCTCATAATATTGTGCTAAAACCTCTTCCCCACAAGATTGTAGGCTAAAAGCACTGATTGGGTCTCATTCTTGCTATACTCCTAACACTGAGCAAATTGTATGACAGAGAATATAGAGTTGGCCGAATTCTAGAGATTCCATCAAGTCCTGCTCACCGTGTCATAAGGACACCAGCTCACCTGTACTTGTGAACGCAGCTGATCCATCTTCTGTTGTTGCTTCTCCACAATCTGAAAGGCAAAGTTATCAAGGAAGGCTATAAGCACAGGCTGATGGTAAGGTCAGAGGGCAAGAGGCTACATCAGGATCTATGGTCTATTAGTGCCACTGTGGCTATAGCCAATCAATAGTGAAACCAGGGTGAAAGCAATTTAGCTCTACTTACAGAAAAAAACCCAGATTCCCTATCCTAGCTAGCTAGCTTCACACTTCTGTACTCTACTCACAAAGAGGTTTAAACAGGAATGTAATGTGGACTATGACCACTACTGGGAGGAAGTGGGGAATTCACTCGGATAACTGTGGGCCAGTAGAATAAACTTTATATATAACCAGTGTACATTTTAATTCTTTAGTAGAGGACAGGACCAAAAATTCAGTTTAATGAAGTCTGGCCTATCCAGAGCTGTGATGAATGCTATTATTTATAGCTTTGGTCACAAGGCTGTTCAAGGAAGAGACCACGAATAGGCCATTTCCTGTCCTTTGAGACCTCAGGTATTCTCTGAACCATTTCTGGGGTATATTTATTTATTTTGAGAGAGCAAGTAGGGGAGGGGCAGAGAGCGGGGGGATAGAGAGAGAATCCCAAGCAGGCTCTGTGCTGTCAGCACAGAGCGCAAGCGGGGCTCAATCTGATGAGCTGAAAGATCATGACCTGAACTGAGATCAAGAGTCGGACACTTAAACAACTGAGCCACCCAGGTGCCCCTCTGGGTCTTTTTTTTTTTTTTTAACCTACCTATCAGTCTCACTAATAGGTTTGGACTGTTTCTTCTCTGCTAAATTAGGGCCACTTTGCCAGTTAGAACTCTGCCCGATGCAAGAGGTTCTGTGTGGGGCCTAAGCCATGAATGAAGTGCACCAAGCATCAATGTACCATTTTGGAGCATCTAGTTTGGATGTTCAAAAGCATATCCTCTCCTAATTCTGCTTGCCTGTTGTAAGAATAAATATCTAAAATGCAAACTTATTATGCAGGGGTGACTTCTCAGAAAAGAGAGGAAAGTTCTGGGTAATGCATCTTAGGTGGCCCAGGGCCAGAAATTCATGGTTCCTTCCCAGTACACAATCTTCTCTTCCTTCTCAGCCTGCCCTCTATTACAGCCTGGACACACTCAGTCACCTTTCGGAGGGAATCACATTCTTTCTGCCAGGACTCCATTTCCACTTTTGGACCTTCTCCCTGTTGGGCTGGACCTTCTCCACTGGCCTCCTCCACACACTGCTTATCTTGCAGGCTGAAAGACAGTGGCCTCTTTAAGAATTTTGAAGTCAGGCAGATGTGGCTTTGCCTCCTGATTCTATTATTTATTGTACGTTTGGGGTAAGACACTCAGGCCCTTCCAAGCCATATCTGGGGATAACGTGTTAGGTCTGTTGTAACATAGGGTGTACCACACACAAGTTGCCTAGCATATGTTAGTTCTCTTCCCTAGAGGCCAGCATCTATCCACTCTTCCACCAATTCTCTACCTGCCCAATGCTCTTGTATATTTGTTTTGATATTTAAAAATAAACACTCATCACATGTATTTAGATTATAAAAGTCATACATGTATGCTGTAGAAATTTTGGAAAACAAAATCTTTTTTTCTTGGCACACATAGTCTGGGGCAGGGTCAACTTTGACCCCAACCTCTCTTCTGACTCCAACCGAAGGTCTCCTCCAATGGATCCCCACAATCACTTTCATTATGGCTCATCTGCTGAGACAAACAACAGGGTCACTATGGTTGAATTTGGGATGAGAAATCCAATCCATCCCATTAGAAACTGGATTTGGTCCAAGAGGCTGTCGAAACACAGCCATCACATTTTCAGAAACTGCAACTGATATGGAAGAGGCTCTCAAAATACCCTGAGAGTACATTATGGCATCTTGTTTTGTTTTTAGAACCTGTTGTGGCAATTGAGAACAATCCCTAGGGCTGAAGAGAAACAGATGTTCCTAGTAGCCTTTAGCTTACAAGGTTCAAAATGTAGATCACCCCCCACCCTCCACCCTTAACATCAGGATCTGTAAATATACAGTTAACTAATTTCCCAGTATATAAAGTAGTTCCCTTCGCTCAACACATACATACTCAAGGATTACTATCATTATTATTATTATTATTATGCCAGGCACTGGGTTGGACCTTCCAAAGGATATAATGACAAACCCCCACTGCACTACTACACCCTCCACTCTCCATCTCAAAGACCTATTCCTTGCCCATAAGCAGCTATCCTATTATTCATATTCTAAAGAAACGAAGCTCAGAAAAGTAAAGTGATTTGCTCTAAGTCACACAGGTAGTAAGTAGGATAGACCTAACTCTCCACTCCTTTCCTCAACTACACAAGAGTATTTATTTACCTATGTCTACTGGAGAATTCTGCTCCTCTCTGTCTCAGGCTTTCCAGTTGACCCTCCTTCTCTCTGCAGGCTGCCTGGGTTTCCTCCAGCAAACTCTCCAGCTCGGTTACTCTCTCCTGCAGCTCTGTACTCTTCAATTCAGAATCCTTAAGCTGAGAGACAGGATCCCATACTTACGGTCAATAAGCCAAGGAATACTGCGTATCTCAAAAAAATGTGCAGTCCAATTGCAAATTGGACAGATGTGAGTCTGGACTTGACTCCTTTGGGTTTTTCCTTTAGGAAGCCACAGGGTAACTGCATACAGCAGAGGCTGAGGAAGTCCCCCTGCTTGGCCACTCCTTGCTAGCCCCAGGTATGCCCAGACATTGCTGCTACCTGCTGGCTCTGCTTCTGATGATCTTCCAGGGTGGGCAGGTCAGCCAGGTAACGCTCCAAGGTCTCAATACGCTGCTGCTTCTCCCGGTTCTGCTCTGACTCCTTCTGACATTTCTTTTTCAAATTATTGATATGTTTATCACGACCCTTGACCTAAGGAAAGAAGTCAAGAATCTGTCTCCACTGACTCCTCTAGGACTCTGAACATCACCTTTTTTTCTGAAATGACCATTGTCTCTGCCCTTAGAGCTGTAAATGTCGTTCTACTACAATGAAGACAGGGAGCTGTTCAAATTTTGCCATTTGAAATTAGGGCATAAACTGCAGAGTTAACACACCTGAACGTTCCAATCGAGGGTAGGGAAGAAGGGCTCCTTGGGGAGTTTTTAAAAACTGGTAGCATTTCTACATACAGGCATACCTGGGTGACACTGCAGGTTTGGTTCCAGACCACTGCAATAAAGTGAGTATCACAATAAAACAGGTCAAATGAATTTTTTGGTTTCCTAGTTCACATAAAAGTTATGTTTACACTACACTGTAGTCTATGAGGTGTGCAATAGCATTGTGTCTAAAAAACAATGTACATGTCTTAATTAAAATATACTTTATTGCTAAAATATGCTGATCATCATCTGAGCTTTCAGCAAGTCTTAATCACAGATCACAGGTCACTAAAACAAACATAATCATAATGAGAAAGTTTGAAATACTGCAAGAATTACCAAAATATAACACAGATACATGAAATAAGCAAATGCTGTTGGAAAAATGGCACCAAAAGATTTTTATCAAGGCAGGGTTGCCACAAATCTTCAATTTGTAAAAAATGCAGTATTTGAGACACACGATAAAGTGAAGCACAATAAAACAAGGTATGCCTGTAATAAAGAATCCATCTGGTTTTTGTCCTGGGGTTCTGGGAAAAAACTTCTATACTCTTAGGATTTGCCAAACAATATGAGCATCTTTGTTATTCATAGTGGTCTGGTCTGTTCCAGTGAAATAGGTAATGCTTTCTTCCCTGAACAGAACATGTGATTTAAAGCTAAGCAATCATCTGGAAGGGCTAATGAGACTGTAAACTTCTTGAAAGGAGGAGCTGTGTCCATTTTGCTTATTATTATAGCCCCCACACATAAAAGCCATAGCTCAGTGCTTGGCACAAAGTGGGCACTCAACCAAGATTTGCTGAATGTACACTTTTTCTCCACTATTATGGTTTTTTCTTTGGCTTATGAAAAAAGGATGCTAGAGAAAGTAGAGAAAAAGTAAGGCATATCTACTGATGTCAAAAGGAGACACAGACCTAATTTAATCCAAAGGTAAGAAAGTATTAAGAGTGGATCCCTGAAAATCAGCCAAAGGCTTTATCCCAGGTATAATCTCTACCCTTTCAAGCTCTAAACCAGTGAGTCTCACATTTTAATATGCATCAGACTCAGCTGGGAAACTTATTGAAAATGCTGATAACCAACTCTGAATTTAAAAAAATGGTGGATTACCCAAAGACCTTTATCTCTTCTTCTAAAACATCTCTCAAATGACAGGAAGGAAATTAGAGTACTAATTTTAAAAAGCTAATAGAGGAAGAGATAAAAGTATATGAGAGATTTCAACGTGTTTACAGAAGATGAAAGTGGACAGGGGATAAATTACTCAAAGAGTTATAACCACAGTGGGCATTACAGACAATTTGGAGAACAATGTGCCCTTCACACCCTCCCAGTACTTTTCAACTCAAAGCACCAGGTACATCTGAGGCAGGTATCAGCCATAGATCTGAAAAATAGGGCACTCATTGGAAGTCTATATACAGGTTAGCTGGATACCATTTTCACCCTAAGTTTCCCCAATAGGAGACTGCAGATTTATTCTCCAGAGAAATCAGAGAGATTCCAGACTCAAGGATATCAGTCACAGCAGAGCGTGCAGCACTGGGTTGCAAGGAAGTATAAGTAAAAATCTATATAGAGAACTGTGGGACTCTAAGCCTAATCTCCTTGTCAGTATTGAGATCCTAAAAGCCAAAAGCATTCCTGTCCCTAGCCTCACAACTAGGCAGGAGGCTGAAGATTCTTTTCTGGAGAGAGTGAGGTAAGATACTCAGATACTAATATTTGAGGGTCCTCGAGAGAGAAGGTAGTCCAAGTCTGATCATCCTATAGTGAACTCCACCAGTCAACTATCACGAAGCTAGAGCTTCTATCCAGTTTTTAAATACTTCATTCTTAAACAGAAGTGCCCATTCAAGGATCACTAAGCCTCTGACATGAAAGACACCAAAACAAAATAAAAGGTTCTGAAAAAAACAAGAAACAATACTATAAGCAGATGTAGACATGCCAAAATTATAATCAGTATTATCAGAGAGAGAAGATATTGCATCCATGAGACAAAACGAGCAAAAATCTCAGGAATATACTCAGAAATATAGAGAAAAGAAGAGTTAAGGGTAGAAATCTTTGTGGAGTGGAGCTGGGCACAGAGCTACTAATATTTATTATAAACATATTGGTATTTTATTATTTCAACTTGGATACACGTATTTTGATTAAAAGTTTTTTTTAACAAGCCTCTAAGTCCTTGCTATACCAGTGGCACCAACATCACCTGGGAACTTGTTAAAAATGCAAGATCCTAGGCACACCCCACCCCAGAATTACTAAATCTGGATCTGTATTTTATTTTATTTTTATTTTTTTAAATTTTAATGTTTATTTATTTTTGACAGAGAGAGAGAGAGAGA